ATTGCTCAGCCATGAAAAGAATGAAATGCTGTCATCTGTAATGGACCTAGAGGGTATTATGCTAAGTGAATAAGTCAGAGAAAGACAAGTACCATTTGATCTCACGATATATATGTGGAATCTAAAAAAACAAAACAAATGAACTGACATAGCAAAACAGAATATACTTACAGACACAGAGAACAAACACATGTTGGTTGCCAGAGAGGGGAGGGAGGTGGGGAGATGAGTGACATAAGTGAGGGAGACTAAGAGGTACAAACTTCCAGGGATGAAATGAACAGTGTGAGGAAGGCAGTCAGTTATATTGCAGTACCTCCGTATGGTGACAGCTGTAACGAGACACATTGTAGTGATCACTGATTTATGTACAGAAATATTGAACAACTGTGTTCTGCACCTGGAACCAACATAGCGTTGTAGGTCAGTTAAACTCTTAGAAAAATGTAGACAATTAAAAATCAAGTTGCTAATGATGGTTATCTGGGGGAGATTATGGGTGATGGTTAATTTTTACTTTATACTTTTATGTATTTCTAGTTGTCTGCAAGGAATGTGTATTGCTTGTAAAATTAGAAAGAAAGCAATAAATGTTACTAAAAATGAAAAAAGAAAGACAGCAAAACAAAAACAAAAAGTGATGAGGTGTCTCAGTTGGAGTTCAGCCAGAGGGGAAAAGCTGTGTGAGTTGTGCGTATGGGAGGGGAGGTACTGCGTGCACCTGCTTTCTGAGACTGAGAGGCCTGGGTGGGTGAGCCTGGGTCCTCCGTGCAGTTGGCCTTGAGAGATCTTAAGCGGGATAGGACCTGAGGCCCTTGCTCTCTGTAGTGTCTGAGCTCAGGGAAAGCCTGAGCCCTCTTTAAAGGCCTCACCTGATTAAGTCTCACTCACCCAGGATCATCTCCCATCTTATTTGCTCAAAATCATTTGAATAGGGACATTAATTCCCTCTGCAAGATCTTTTCACCTGTGCTGTGTAACACGCCCTCATCATGGGGTGGTAGCCCATCATGTTGTTGGCTTGGTCCACACTGCAAGGGAGGGCATTCGAGTACACGATACTCGAGGGCTTCTCCTGAGGCTCTGTGACCTCCTTTCATTGCCCCATGGGAGCCCTTCAAGGACCTTCCTAGTACAAGAAAAGTGTTAAAGCCCTTCTCTCCACAAACCCACCCATCGGCATGTCTCCTCATGACATTCCTGAACACCGGGGATAAAGCAAGCTATGTGTTTTTTGCTGCTCTGCTCTGGATGGGCCAAGTTTGGCCCGGCCTGTTGGTCCCAGTAATTTCTGTGACCCTCTAGTATTTTTAGACTCCTGTTTCACAGTGATCACCTCTTCTGTGCCAAAAGGTGACACGATCGAGAAGCAAATAAAAAAATATTCTTTTGACCTTTTAACTGTCCTAACTTTACCCATTATTTGACTTAAGGAGAGCTGGCTATTATAAAAACAAACACACGCCATCATCTAAGGATAAAAGCCTTTGTTTCCTTCCCATCAGCCACTTGGCAGAATAGTTTGGATACATTTAAGGAAGATTTCAATTAATGCTGGGAGAATCTCTGAACTTGGTCTGTGTAATAAAAACGTCATCCTACAGGACTAGTTTAAATTTCTTAATGAGTCTAATTTCGTATAGCCAATGCATAGAGATCACTTAATGAGGACAGTTGTTCAGAAATAGCTTTGACTTAGAAATGAGCCAGTCCGGTGTGCCCAGTGCCAAAATACCACTTATTATTATGTTTCAGGCTGATCTTTTATACTTCTGGAAGCCTTGCGATACTCAGTTGAAAATTAGGTTTTCCAAGCCTTCAAGAGTGGAATTGTTTGAAGGGTAGGACTGTGGGTAGTTTTTTCCCTGAAGAGCAGCTTTGGTTTTGGCAGGTGGTTAACCTCGCCGGACTGAAACTCCAGTTCCTTTCTCTCTACTGCTGTGGGCAGCTGCTTATACAGTTTGTGCTTAGTTATTTCAGTTTTAGCTGCTGCCGTTAACCTGGCCTCCCCTGAGCATGCATGGTATAGCGCAAGAATTTGGGCAAATTCTATCAACAGATTTTGCGGCTACCTCTTTCACCCAGGACTTAGCTCATCTAATTTTCTGCTCGTGAGCCCCAACGTGTGTCCTCTGACACCTGAGGTGTCAGTAAGCCGCTTTCACCTGCCTGAGCTGCAGGCAGAGGTGCAGGGCATGCCCCAAGCCAAAGGCAGCTTCTTATAAATCACCTGGCTACTCTTGTCTTCAGAAAGGTCTGCTGCCTGCTTTCTCTCTGCCTTTGGTCCCTCTCAAGTGCCTTCAAAGAGATTCTGAAAAATATTTCTCCCAAGTTTTACAGTTGTTATCTATGGGATGATTAGCCCAACTGACTGCTCCGTCATTTCCCAAAGCCAGAATAAGTCAAAAGGAAAATAAATCTAAAAGGTGATACCAAAACTGAAGGCCACTAACTGATACAGAGTGGCTAATACAGGGTTTTGTTAAGAATACTACTTGCCTAATCTGAGACACTTTATTTCTAGTAATACAGGCTAGTTTTCTGTCAGATGCTTTTACCACATAGTGGTTGGTCAAAGCATCTTGATTATTTTCACCTGAATTTGTCCTAAGCCTGAGCTACAGAAAATGATAGGAAATAGATAAAAGGAAAGAATGTGACTGGACTTTGTTCTTTTAAACATCAAGTAATCACACTGCCTTTTTTTCTCTCTAATGTCACCTTTTTTTAAATTGCAGTGTTGTTAATTTATAATGTTGCATTAGTTTCTGGTGTACAGCAAAGTGATTCAGTTATATGTATATATATTCTTTTTCAGATTCTTTTCCATTATAGGATATTACAAGATATTGAGTATAGTTCCCTTTACTGTACAGTAGATCCTTGGTTTTTTATCTAATTTATATATGGAGTGTGGATATGTTAATCTCAAACTCCAAATTTATCCCTCCTCCCCTTTCCCCCAGGAACCTTAAGTTTGCTTTTCTGTGTGAGTCTTTTTTCTGTTTTGTAAATAAGTTCATTTGTGTCATTTTTTTAGATTCCACATGTAAGTGCTATCATGTGGTATTTGTCTTTCTCTCTCTGACTTACTTCACTTAGTATGATAATGCCCAGTCCATCCATGTTGCTACAAATGGCATTATTCCATTCCTTTTTGTGGATGAGTAGTATTCCATTGCGTGTATATATATGCACCACACCTTCTTTTTCTACTCATCTCTCTGTGGACATTTAGGTTGCTTCCATGTCACTCAACCAGTTCTTGAGGATCAGAGTAATTACAAAAACATGGTTATTGTGAAGTTTCACAATTACAACTTCTAATCCAGAGAGTGATGTGAACTACTTCAATAAAAAGCACACAAAGCGTAACTTTGCAGGTAGTAACTGTGACTTCTCAAAACACAATCCACAGGCTTATAAATAGACTGCAAACTAATTTCCTTGGATAAAAGAAAATGCAAAAGTGTGAATGTTAGAGGCTCATTGTTTGATTCTGAGGAGATAATTGCATTGTTATATTTTTCCCTAGAATTTAATTTTCACATGTATAGGGTTGGTAGAAGTAGATTAGTAGCTCATCTTATTTGATAGAATGAAATTGGAATGGTTTATTATCTGTTTTATTGTGGATTCTTAGAATAGTGTTTCAAATTATTTGCATAATGGGTAAATCAGCTTAACTTAATTGTATTCACTTTCCTATATGACTTTGACCTTTTTACATTAAGAATTTCAACTCTTTTAAATTTTAATTTTCAATTGTTGATGGAGTACCCATAATTATTTTGGAGTTACTAATTATTAGTACAGTGTGAAAATGACATGAGAAATCTATCAAACTTTTGTCTTACTTGAATTGTCCCTTTTTGTATAACAGACATAAAATTTACTCCAACCTAATCTTCAAAAAGTTATGTAACTGTTATTAATTTCAAACAACAGTCAAATAGCCAAAGACATAGAAGAAACTTAAAGTCAGTTGAACAAGGAATGTTAGAGCAAGAGGAAGAGTAAGAAGCCACAGAGGGAGGTATTGCAACCAGTAGAACATTGGTTTTTGTTTGTTTGTTTGTTGCTGTTATTTTAAGAACTATAGAGAACTTGAAGATCAGAATGAAGCCTGGGAGGGAGAATGGAAAGGGAGCGTGTTGAAGATGGAAGCATTAAAATAAATAGGGATTTAAGGGAAACATTTAGTTGGTATCAGAGGAGCGATTGTTCCCTCATAGCACAGGGAGCTCAGCGCAGCAGCCCTCTAGGAGTGAACGCCCCTGTGGTCCAGGTTAGAAACCTCAGTGGTGGGAACTGAACTGTAGCTTTGATTAGTTCAAAAGAAATCATCATTATCCCTAACACCCTTATGAAAAAGAAAGTCGTCATCATCATCATCAACACCGTTTTCGTGGTCAAAATCATTAAAATTAATTGAAGGGTTTATTTTAGTTCAGGGACTTTTCTGAAAACTTTTCATCCATTAGTCATTTTTTCTGATACTAGCTGGGAGATTCTTTTGTTAGCCTTATTTACAGATGAGAAAACTGAGGCTTAAAAAGGTTTACTTTACTTGCCCTGAGGTCACAGAGGTGATAAGGGGCAGAGACTGGACTCAAAATTTGATTTTATGTCCCCATACTTATGCTCTTAGTCATCAATAATAAAAATAATAATCTGGAAAGAATACGAAGCCTCAACTACCAATTTTAATACCTCTGGTTTAGCGTTTGCCGTGAAGCAATATAAAATTTTGTGTTGAGGCCGAAATAAGTTTCTAGCAGTGTGAATAATTCGGGATTGTGAGATGTATTTTTGCAGTCTCCTACTTTGGTTCTGGTAGAGATCGAGCTGCTAGGAGAGGAGATTTTGACCATCATTATTTCTGAGGCCGTCAGAGGGTTGCATTTTTCATGGAACACATTTACAGCAAAGTTCTCTTGATGTTATAAACTCGTATTTTTTTTACCTGTTGCTTATCTTTTTTATTGTCTCTCTCTCAGGAAAAATTAGATGTAGGGGTGAGGAAAGAAGTTGATGGCATGGGAACGTCGGAAATAAAGTACGGGGACTCGGTGTGCTACATACAGCACATAAACAGTGGCCTGTGGCTCACCTACCAGTCTGTGGATGTGAAATCTGTGAGGATGGGATCCGTACAGCGTAAGGTGAGAGGCTGTCAGAGCTCTGTGTGGTGGTCATTCTGTACGACTGAAGAACCCAGCACGACAACCAGAGGTGGCCAGCCCTTCAGCCACCTGCTAACCGTCATTGTTTACATGCTAAAGGTTCCATCCTACCCTCATCCACTCAGGTTTGTACAGTGAACCTGGCTGGATGTTACATCAGTGATTTAAATATTAAGTGAAGAAACTTGCTACTCCCGGGTTCTAGCTTAGTCCTCCCCGTTCACCTGGTCCTCCGGGTGCTGCTGGTGTTATGCTTCTGAAATGCAGAAGTTCCCATCCCCTCCCTTGTGCGTCCTTCAGCTACACACCCCACTGCTTATAAGACAGCAGCTACACATCTTGGGAGTGCATGACGCCCTTCCCGACCTGCCCTGACCTGCCCCGGCCTTTTCCTCCTGTCTGCACAGGCTCTGGGAGCCCTCTGCAGTGTCCCCACACCACCACTCACTCACAACACAGTCCTTGTAGCCCCTCAGAGAAGCACGGCCTCCACACGTCTGTGCCCTTACAAATAGTTTCCTCTGCTTGGGATGCCCTTTAAAACTTTTTTTTCCCCACCCAATTCCTTCCATCCTCCAGAGATTAAAAGATGGTCTTAGAAGTTCTTCCTGACTGTCTAAGCTCATCCTGCACACCGTCCTTTGTGTTCTCATAATATTGTGTGTAACTTACTAAATTTTATGTGCGCTGTCTGTGCTATTTTATCTGCTAGGCTACGTGCCTCTCTCACTGTCTCTCATTTGTGAGCTTCCTTAGGGCGAGTACAATAATACTGTAGACTGTTCAGATTTCATGTTTTTATATCACTGTGTAACACAGTGCACAGAGTCTAATAACAGAACAAATACTATTTCTATGAACATGAGACCTCGGGTCTCTTTATCCTCAGTAGACTTACTCATCGTAACATACATGTTCCAGTAAGGATTGCTCAGAGTGACTGTGATCTCTTCAGGGTGACCAGCACTGCTTTTAGTGACATCAGGGGCTGGCTCTGTTTGGATGGAGCTGGTCTTAGACGCGTCCCTGTACCACCTTCCTCAGAGCTGTGGATGGAGTGCCAGACCCGGATCATTTTCACAATGAGATGTTCGCTTGTGTTTGGGGTCTTTGATCCAGGCTCATCAGTCTGATTGTATTTGTTTGTATTCAGTATTTGTACATCATTCACTATTTCCTGCAGCTGAGCCTGGCAGTTTTTAACTTTTTATTATGGGGAAAAATAGTGCAGTTAGACCCTGTGTGTTCATCAGTCATCTTCAGCATTTTCAGTGCTCTCCTGCTCTTTCATTTTTTCAGGGTAAGGGGGAGGGAAAAACAAATTCACATGTGGCTGTTTGGTGCTTGAATGTGGCTAGCAGTATAAGAACTGAATTTTTAGTTTTGCATAACTAATTAAAATTTAAAAGCTTATACTCAAGTTATTAGAAAGCTTGTATGCATGTTTGGAACAACTTGGATATGTGAATGTACCTTCCCAACTATAAATGTCATGAATTCTAAAAAACAGTCAGATATTTTCACTGATAACTTAGTATTCAAATCAAGTTATTCTAGAAGCATTAAATACATACTGGATTATGAAGACAAGGAATGAAAAAAAATAAAATATCGCATTTACAAGTTTATATTTTTATTACATGTTGAAATAGTAATATTTTCCATATGGTGGATTAAATCAAACATAGTATTAAAATTAATTTTACCTTTTAAAAACACATTAATGTTAGTTCTGGAAAATTCGAAGCTACATGTTTTAAAACAACTTCCTCACCACCCATCCCTGATGACCTAGTGCTTCCCTCCCACCACTGCCGCTCTCAGGGATAAACCCTATCCTTTCTTGTCGTGTTGTAGAGGTGAGTTTCACTGTTGGGCTTTTTATTTTATTTTATAGGGAGTGATTTTATTAGATTTGCCATTTTGCATTCTGGGTTGTTAAACCTTAATATTTACCAGAAGGGTAGATGTTCAAAGTATGATTTCACAAACCATAAAGAACAGAGAGGAAACAAAGGAAGTTCTTAACTAAGATATTACTTTGTAAGGGCTGTTGTCTAACATCGCTTTTTCCTTTGCGCCTTTATTGAAAGTTTAACATGGCATGTGGTTATAGGAAAAGTATAGGTAAAGATGATAGCACGTAGACATATATTTTTGAAGAAATAGAAGTAAATTTCAATCAGAAAATAGCTAGAAACTCTTCAGGTGTTATTTCCCTATTCTATGATTCAGTGGAAAATGCGGGGGAAAAAAAAAGAGGCTTAAACAGTTCTTTCAGCCTTTTTTTTGTTCATGTACCCCTTGAATGAATTTTTAAAACCATATACTTCATGACGTAATTTTCATTATAAATTTAAATCGTTGCATATTAAATGGTTTCTGGTCTGCAGTACACATGAACACTTTTAAACCAAACTGTGCATATGTCATTTAAATATGTTGTATGGGAAATAAATCCCAAGAGTTTCCACAATTTCCTCTCCTTATTCTACTGAGTTCAATAAAGCACCAAGCACTGGCAACTTCATCTTCCAGGTGTACGTCATTCCAGTCCCCTCTGCTCCACCCTGAAGAATCTGGTTCCGCCTTTATCATGGCCAGTTGCACTGTTTCCATTGCCTCCTAACCATCTCTGTGCCCTCAGTCTGACCTGCCTCCAGTTCACTCTGACTGGGTGACGCCATGCATAGAACCCTTCGAGGCTGAGCCTTATTCCTGTCATAATTCCAGTCTCCTTACCATGCAGGACAAACCAGCTGACTCATCTCACCTCGCCCCCAGCCCCTCCTGCTTCAGTCCACTGTGGTAATGCCAATGCTCTTTATTACTACCCCCTCTCTTATTCCTTAACCATGATTAAAGCCAAAATGGGGCTTCCCTTCTACATCGTAGGCTAAGAAAGAGCTTGCCTTGTGGGAGAGTCTGATGGGGTGTTGAGACACTAACCAGTCTTGTTTACACTAGTAAAGTTACATATGAAACAGACTTCATGGGCCATGGAAGGGCCAACCTAATACAATCTCTACTGTAAATTTATTACTTCTTCTAGAATACATCTACTGTATTGAATCTTTATCGAGAGATTAGATTCAGTGTGGCCGTGATAGAAGAGGCCTTCCCAATCTAGAGCTCCTAATTTTTATATGCTTCCCAGTTGGCTAGTGTCTTCAAATCATTTTATTTTATGAGAAAAGCATATTAGTGGTGGATTTGCCAAATCTTTGCATATTTAAAACTGACTTTCTGTTGTTATTTCCTGTGAATAAACCCTTGGCTAATTAAAAAATGTCTGAGTCACTTTTCATAGCTTTTCTGTATCCCACCTAGTGTGACAGTCATGCTTTGATGCAGAAATATAAACGTACTGATTGTGCAGTGATGCACAGACCCTACTGGGTGTTGCACACATGCAGTTTATACATTGCATTACCTTTTAAAAAATTAGCTCTGAATTATGAAATGCATAATATCATAATTATGTCACCAAGGCTTCTTAACTAGCACATTAGGTCTTTTAAAGCTGAGAGGAGAATTGCTCAGCACCCCCTCTGGCTTTTCTCCCCTCCAGTTGTGGTTTCTTTCTCAGGAAGGCGGCTGGTTCCTCTCCTGCACGTCAGCACCTTCCCTTGCAGGAGTCCCACCTGTCCTCTACATTTTGCTTCTCAAATGTGTCCTCCAAATCACTCATTTTGTTTTCTTTGATGGCGTTCTGTTCCTCTGGCTCTCTCAGTGCCTCTCTGAAATGCTAGTTTCCTTGTATTTTTCATGATCTCACTCAGGTCACTTTTTACCTCAGCTTGCTGTCTCTTCATCCATTCTGGCTGTTCTTCCCCGTCTGTCTCCTCCCTGGGAATTTTCACCCCTCTTTCACAGAAGTTATGCCTTCTTACACTCCGTGGCCAAGTGAAATAGATTATATATTTAAACAACGTTCTGCTATTTCTATCTTATTTGACTTTTAAAAAATTAGCAGTGATTGCTGGATTTTATCAATTAAAGAGTGCTAAAAACCATGTTTTAGTGTCCTTTAATTTGCTGATAAATAAGTTAATAGACATCATGATACTGATGAATCCTTAAATTCATAAACTAAACCTTGCTTGGCTATAGTTTATTATTCTTTTCAAATCTTGTTAGATTCTATTTGTATTTTATTTAGAACTTATCTAGGATTATATGTATATTCATTTATATATAAAGTTTATATAATAATTTTTCCTTCTTTATGGACACCAGAATTTGAATTTCATACAATTCTCAGGTTTCATGAAATATTCTGTTTTTGGCTTTTTTAACCATTAGAAAATGTAGAGACTATTTGTAGCTTACAGGCAGTACAGAAATAGTCTGTAGTCCTAGTTCACTGAGCAGCCTGCCATTGAAAGTGTCTGTTCTTTGAAGGTTCATTAGAGCTCACTTGTGAAACCACCTTGTCCTGCAGTCTTTGAAATACTGGATCTTAAATTTCCTTTCCAATCTCTTTTGAATAAATTGATGTCATCAAATTTTCTACTTAGTTGGGGTGATTCCTTTTGATGATTCTTGATTTGCTAGGAAGCTGTCCTTGTCTTCTAGGATAGTCAGTTATGTTCTTAAAATCTTCAAAAATTTTTCGGCCATTAAGTTCCATGCAACATTGTCTTGCTATAAGTTTATAATTTTAATGTCTTTTGTGTCTTATATTCTGTTCTCTGTGTTTTTTTTGTTTGTTTGTTCCATTTTATCTTTAGCCTGCTTTGTGACAGGTTTATCTATTTTATTTATCTTTCAAAAAAAACATCTTGTGTGTATTCATCCTTCTCTAGCATTCTATTTGATTTCTTGTTCATTAATTCTCTTTTTGTCTTCGTTAATCCCCCCTTTCAATTTTATTTGTTTTTCTTTCTTAGAGTCCTTAAATGAGTAATACATTCCTTCATTTTAATCATTTTTCCTTTGTGAATGAAGGCATTTAAGGCTATGAAATTGACTCTGAATACAGATGTATCTCTGTCTCATTGATTTTGGTATAAGGAGTTTCCCTTACATTGCTTTCTAGATAGTTTATAATTTTGGTTCTAGTTACTAATTTGAGTTTGGTATTCCTGATTAAATGTTCTAAAAACGTCTGCTATTGGTGTTGAGTGAGGGAAGGTAGACACAAATGGTTCTTTTTGTATATAGTACATGACTGACCTTCGCTGTTGAAAGCCATGGAGGGTGGGGGATGTGGAGAACAGGGACAGGAAGGGGGTGTAAGGTGCTGTAATGTTCTCTTTCTTGGTCTGGGTGTTGGCTACATGGTTTGTTCACTTTGTGAATTTCATTCAGCTCTTAAGATTTTGCACTTATTTCTTCATGTTATACTTTCGTAGAATGTTTGACAACATAAAGCCTAACAAAAGAATAAAATAAATACTTTCACAAGCACTGAGATGCCTTAGAAGCATTACTCATTATTACTAATTTACCCACCTAAGTTCAGAACTTCTGTGTAACTGTTATCCCATGTAATGTTTCCCTTTGCTGCTTTGTTCAAAGTTTGCTTAGAATGTAGATGAATCATTTGAACACAGGTATGCGAAAACACTCTGGTGTCTGTTTTGCTCATATCAGTATATGCATTGATTTGTTCTTTAAAACAACAATGGATTCATCTTTAAATGAATAACTGAATAAATACATTGCATGACTGATTTGTACAGGGACCTGTGCGTATTAATTTTACCTGAACACGACAGCCTACAGCCCCCTCCACCTGCCTTTTGATTCTGTTTACTGTCCTAGCTCACCTTTTTGAGAGGCATCTTTAAAAACATGCATTTTAAAAAAGAGATTTTAGGGGTAATGGCATTATTTCTGCTTTCGTCCAGGCTATTATGCACCACGAAGGTCACATGGACGATGGCCTAAATTTATCCAGATCTCAACATGAAGAATCACGGACAGCACGTGTCATCCGAAGCACAGTCTTTCTCTTCAATAGATTTATTAGGTACGCAGTCCTTTGTTGTTGTGGCTGGTGGACATTTTATTTCAGTTTCCTTATCGGATTTACAAATAAACAAGTCTAAAATACACCATGGTGGGAAATCTCATACTATTTGGTAGTTCTGCAGAACACATTAGAAAATGCTAGTTAGATAATTTTATGTCTTTCTTTTAAAATAACTTTTTAAAAAGGACTGTGGTTTTGGATATGGTACATGTAACTTGTAATTGGTGGCTGTGTGTCAGGGTTATTCTGCAACATACCCTGGTGCTGGGCCTTTCACCCTGGGGCAGCACAGCCTGGATGCCTTGTGGGATTGAACTGTATTTAAAAACAAAAGTGATTCTTGTGATAAGGTTTCCCGTTTTCCACCTAATAATGGAAGCAATTGCATATCTACAAAACCAAATCAAACTTGTGTCCAAAGTGTTTTCTTTTTTTTTTGATCAACAATGTCAGATTTATACTCAAGATAAGAACTCAAAATTAATGAGCATTTGTTTAATATGGAAGTTACTGTTAATTAGGCCAAGGTAAGTTTCAGTGAATTGGTAAACAATCTTCTGACTAGAGTTGAATTACAAGAGACCAGCAGAATAAAAATTAAGCCATTATAGACAGCTATTCAGATAAATTTGGATCACAGGAAACTAGAGAGGGAAGTGGATCAAGACTTTCAGTGTTTTCTGATAGCAGTGCACCAGTAAGCACTCTTGATTTGTGATGGGCATCATCTCTCTCTGTAAACTTGCCAATTTGGTGGGAAAAAATAGACATACATGTATATATTTATAGTATGTATATATTTATTTATAATTATTTTTGAAAATTTGCATTTATGTGAGAATTGTGAAAATGGGTTTATTTCATGTTTGTTGACCAGATTTCTTCATTTATTTTTATGATTTACCCTATAATTTGTGAATTTTTCTGTTAGGCTGTTATGAGCTTTTGTTACATTAGAGATACTAATTTCCTGTAATCATTTATAAATTTCAAATATTCTCCCAGCTTATTGATTTGAAAAATATTTCAAGGAGTTCTTTTCATTGTAGTTTACTCAATAAATTATGTTTTACAGCATATTAAAGGCCTTCACCACCAAGATTATATAAATATTCACTTAATCTCTACTTTTGTACACCATCCCACTGTGTGTGTACATTTGTGCAAATAATGTGCACAGCATTCAGCTTCATCATATGCTTAGTGTTTATCTTATTCCCCTGCCTCATCTAAACTCTAATCCTTTTCAGATGGAGGAAAGCTTAGAGATGGCATAAGAGTCAGATTTTTATCATTCGGTATAGGACTTCTTGTAATAAATACTCAAATTTGAAATTGTAACTTACTTTCAAATCAGTTCAACTTAGATTTTTTCCATCTTGTTCTTTCCATGGTTCTTATTTACTACAGCCCAGTCAGTTCTATAAAGCTTGAGGAAATAATCATCATAAATATTTAAAATAGTCAATTTTCCATGTCATTGTATTCATCAGCCTGACTTCTTCTAGTGCAAAAAGACAGGTTTTTATTACAGTGTGACTTGTGTAGTGCTCTCAGAAGCACTACAGAGATTCCATTTGGCAGGCAATAGCTAACTTAATACCAGAGAAAAACCTGATTATTTGTTTTTAAACATATTTTGTCAGAAAGATACTGTATCAGTTCAGACTTAATGTACTGATGGCATGGCTTAAGTGACATTCTGTATGTTGAGTGAGATTACGACAATTCATCTTGGATGTGATTTGCTTTATCACATTTGCTCTTTGCTCAAGACTACTCATTTTTTTTTATAAAAAAAAAATTGCAGGGTCTGTGATTTGGAAGGTTAATTTTAGAACCTAACACTTGCTTAATTC